AAAAAGTTTATAAAAGATTTTAGTAAAGCTAATTTCTGGTCTCATACAACTAGCTACTAAAGCTCTACATAAAAATTTATTAGATATGGGTACTTAGTAATTTTGATAGCCACGACATACAAACAGCTACTATGTATATAGCTAAACAATTAATCTGTATTTTCTTTAAATCTCAAAGTACCTACGATGCAAGGCAGGACGTATTATGAGAGAGAAAAGGCTAACTTTCATTAATATGTAAATAAATCTAAAGTCATACAACCAGTAAGAATCAAAGCTATTATTCAAATCCAAGTTTGACTGACTTCAAAGTCTTTCCAGTGGGACTGCAGAAAAGGAAAGTAAGGTGCTCACTGATACAAACTACTAATTAGTGAAATGGCCTAGGCTCAAAAGACTGGTTCTTGAAAAAAGACAATCATATAGATAAGAAAACAGAAAGGAAAATATATGTCACAAATCCAACAATATGAGATTCTGCTGTCACAACTTAAAACGAAGCTCTCTAATACATACCCTTCACAGGCCCCTGGCTGAACTGAATTCAAGGAAAGAAGGGATATAAATTGCTAAAGGAAAAAGTAAGTTTAGTTCATTTAAGCATGTCTGAATTGATCAAAAATTCATGCAAGAAAGAGCTAGAACTAGAACTCCAAGGAAAACATGGCCTGCCACTGCATTTCAAAGGTAGCTTTTTACTGGGAAACTAACATAGGATTAAGTTTTGCTCTTGTTGCCCAGGCTGGACTGCAATGGCGCAATCTTGACTCACTGCAACCTCCACCTCCCAGGTTCAAGCAACTCTTCTGCCTCAGCCTCCTGAGTAGCTAGGATTACAGGCACCCGCCACCACACCTGGCTAATTTTCTTTTTATTATTTTTAGTAGAGATGGAGTTTCACCACGTTAGCCAGGCTTGTCTCAAACTCCTGACCTCAGGTGATCCACCCGCCTCAGCCTCCCAAAGTGCTGGGATTACAGGTGTGAGCCACCATGCCAGACCCACATTTATAGATATTAAAAATTAACTCCAAGGTATTACTAACAAAAAAGTGGCACAGACAGTTAAAACTATAATCAACACATAAAAAACATTTTTAATTCTATTATCTCCAAGTTACATCAAAATCCTGCTCCACATAGAAAGCTTAGATTTGGGGAAGTAGGTTATATAAGAGGAAAGATTATAAAACACAAACATTTACACATATCCACTTCTGAGATTTTCAAACACACCATGCTCTCCCTCAACTACCAGTATTCGAATACCACGTTGCCACTTCCCCAAACATGCTGAACCAATCTCACTTACCAGGCTAATTCTTATTCATATTTCACATATCAGCTTTCCACTAGAAAGCCATCCGACCGAAGTCCTATTTACACAGGCTTCCTGTGTGCTCCCATAATCACAGTATCTCCCCTATCATGGCACTTAGGCTTTGTATGTCTATCTTCCCCACTACAATAGAAGTCCTCTAAGGGCAGACACCATTTCCATCTTTCTTCAAGACTATGCCCTCAAAGGCCTGGTATATGGTAAGCATTCAAATATTTGTGGTATGAATTATCAATAGATCATACATACCTTACAAATAAGAACTTGCAATGAAGGGTGTCTATAAATGGAATCTTTTTGAAAATGGTTGACCTGTTGTCCACAAGCAGTGCAGCTCACAATCCCATGAAGCCCATCTTCTAGGAGAAAGGAGTGACTATTATTCACACATTTACACACAGAAAAAGATATTTGCTTTAGTCAGCATTTTGTAACTTTTGTATTGGAAATTAAATACCTCAAAATCCTTCAAAAAATGGCATCTTGGACACAAGTAAAAAAGGTTAATATTTTATCAACTTACTCAACACATGACAACTTTGGCAAATTCCAACTTACAAATTCTAATTGTTTCCTTTTACAGATGCAAATGCCATTTCTTACAACTCAATATAACATTAAGAGACTCCATAAAGGGGTTCTAAAACTAGGGGCCAAGAGCTCTTTTTTATTTCATTATTGCTTTGCAAATAAATTAAGTTATCAGTGCTTACAGAATGGGGAAGTAAAATATATGGAACAGATTATTTTGCAATGCTATACTTAATTATGCCATAAAGGTTTTTACTCTCAAAGTGGAATTGTCTGCACAGATCCTATCAATATGGCATGTAAAAACTTGGTAGTTTTATGTTATTACCAATTTCCTTCCTAATATTTACTTCAACACTAACCATAATTGTCATTAACCTGTGTTTTTTTTCTATATGTACTCCACTATCCATACCAACACTGTCTACTGTTTCCAAATAAGGACAAATAAGACATTGCAGGTATATCTATTTTTGCAGCAAAACATCAGAACGATTAGGGGTAAAAGGTAAGAGTCCCATTCTGTACTATCTCCTAAAAAACAGATCAATGATATCTTATGCAGAAAAGACTAAGAAGAAACCTCTCTGGCCTCGCTCTTATCTCTAGTTCTGCTAAGGCAGTGCTTCACACCCTGAGTTAAACATTGTCATCTGAAGAATCTTTATAAAAACAGCCATTCCCACCCCCTAAACCATGGAATTAAAATCTCTCAGACATTTTCTTAAAGTTTCAAAGATGATCTTGATGTGCAACCAAGACCTTGATCAAAATAAGATGGTAGATTATAATTAAAAAGAAGCCACTGAAAATGCTTACATTCACAAATCTAAAAAAAAAAGGCTAAAAAACAAATTGGCTCCATCCTTAAATAAAAGACAAAACATCACATACATTTATCACCCTTTTAATTTTCTCTTTTGTGTTTTTGTTAGGCTTAAGGTCCAAAGCACCATGGACCCAAATATTATCAGGAATATTTTTAATTTGTAGAAGCTTTAAAAAAAACATTTAACAGACAGATTCTCACTGTCACCAAGGCTGGAGTACAGTGGTGCAAATTCAGCTCACTGAGCCTCAACCTCCCAGGCTCAGGCAATCCTCCTACCTCAGCCTCCTGATAGCCAGGACTATAGGCACACACCACCACACTTGGTTAATTTTTTGTAGAGACTGGTTCTCACTGTGTGGCCCAGGCTGGTCTCCAACTCTTGGGCTCAAGCAATCCTCTGGCCTCAGCCTCCCAAAGTGCTGGGATTACAGGTGTGAGCCACCACACCTAGCCAGAAGCTAAAAAATTTAAGGTATGAGAACACCATCATACTTTTTCAGAAGATAAAAGTAACCTTGAAGGTTTACTATATATGTTGCTAATATTTTTATTTATTTTTTTTTAATTTTAAAGATGGGCGTCTCACTCCATCACCCAGACTAGGGTACAATGGCACAATCATAAGTCACTGTAGCCTCAAACACCTGAGCTCAAGCAAACCTCCCACCTCAACCTACCAACAGCGGGGATTACAGGCCTAATATATTATAATCACATTACTTACAAACACCAGTTTGATGTTGGGTATTCATATATTCTGTATTTAAGAAAAACAAATACACCACAACATACTTTTTCATTTCAAATAATAATTTCATTCAGATAAACTAACAAAATAAATAAAAGGTGGAATCTGAATGTTCATCCAATGTTAAGTAATACTAAGCATCTTCTATGTGCTTTTGTGCATATAACACTCAAGAATTAAACAAAACTAGGTAATTCTTTGGAGAATTTCTCCTACACGTGCACAAGGAATCAAATATAAGGATATTCACCACAGCACTTATCAGAAAATTGCAAAATAAAAAATTGGGAATAACTTCCTATGTGGGAAATGAATAGTGGCTTATTAATACAACATAATATAGAGCCATGAAAAATAAACAAACTAGATGTACATTTACTGACATGAATACAATTCAAAAACAATGTTAAATGAGAAACGTTCCCAAATGATATACAGCATAGTATTTTGTATATTTTTAAATGAAAAATGTTTTATGAATACATATATAAAAAACATGGAAAAACATGCACACACATGCACATGCATAAAACTTCAAGATAATCATTACCTGTGGGGTGGGAAGAAGGGGAAATGGATGAGAGTAGGACTGAACCAATATTTTACTTAAGTGAGATCTGAAGCAAATATGGTAAAATGTTGAAATGTTACTTTATGTACTTGTTGCTGTACACATGTTTAATTTTTTTATTTTTAGTTATGAAATATATTTAAAATTGTAACAAAGGTACAAATGGAAAAGAGGCATTTTCATTTCTGAGCTCAATATGTTTTAATGGTTTTAAAAAGAGAACAAAATTATTGTGTCATGTAAAAAAGTTAGGTGTAAAATACACTTTCTAACAATTAAACTGGGAAGAGAATGTCAAAATAAGGTATGATACTAAAAAGTGTTTAAAAACAGCAGCTCCTGAAACGGTCACTTTAGCCATATCTTTGTGTTATAATACTGTTCCAAATCAATATAAGACTTTATATATAAAGTTTACATTCTTGACAGTTTCCTAAGTTAGGCTTCAATTTTGGAACTACCTTTCTTAGAAAGTTTAAATATTAACTACAGCAATTCAGTATTTCAGATCACCAGTTTATCTATCTATCTATCTCTCTCTCTCTCTATCTATATATACATGCGTGTGTATAGAAAGTAAACCTAGTATTAAATTTCCTGTGTGATTTCTGACAGATTAAAAAAGCATCAAATCATTAAGATGAAAATAAACACGAAAGATTTAAGTGCTACTGATGGCTATAAATGTATGTATTCCCTTAAGCATGATAACAAAACATTCCCACAGAGAACATTCAATAAAATGTTCCTGAAACTTATCAGCTGAGACCAAATGCCAGCAGCATACTAAAGTGGCACTTGGAATACCCTCGTCAACAACAGTGGTTCTTTTATTCTCCTTTCAGCCCTTATCCACATTTCAGACACTGACTTTTCCAGAGTCCCTTCCCCAAAAAAAAACAATTTGGACACTGTGTACACCAACTGTACACAATACAGAAAACTTAGTTATTTGTCTTCTCTAGAGAACCTATGATCAGAGGAAAGAAACTCTTACTACTAATCTTTACCATCACTTTCTAATTTGTGATTCTCTTAAATTTTAAGACTACTACCTTGGTTTTAATGAGCTCTGTTGCTGCAATGGCAGTTTCCCTACTGTGAACTAGAGTCTCAGAAAGATTCCTTATGCTCAAAAGGAGCTGACTGCCCCTTTGTAAACAAGACTAAATGATATTTCCTTTATTTTTGCCAACAACCTTACAAAATATTTAATCTGAAAATAAATATATATAAGTATAGATATATTTTACTGGTTCCAGCAAGATAATCATAGCATTAAAATAAAAATCCACACAAAATTTCACCAATATAAGAACTTCACTATAATTTCAAAATTATATAATCTGATCAATATTAAATGGATATGCTTTCATTACATTTCTACTTAGAAATTTAGTGTCATGTTCTATTATTTGGAGATTCATTCCTTTTATAGTTACGAATTCTGGCTCTATTAAGCTGTCCCAAAATATATATAGGCACTATTTAAAAATTGCACACAAACAAATGAGACACATAGTCCACAATTATACATTTCTAAATGAATCTTTCTGATACAAACTTTTTATAAATGGTTAGCCAATATTACTCTGTGTGCATGTGTGTTTGTTAACTTTTTTGAGACAGGGTCTCACTCTGTCATCCAGGCTGCAGAGACTGGTGCAATCACGGCTCACTGCAGCCTCGATCACCTGGGCTCAAGCGATCCTCCCACCTCAGCCTCCAGAGAAGCTAGAACTACAGGCATGCGCCACCATGCCCAGCTAATATTTTTATTTTTTGTAGATATGGGGTCTCACCATATTCCCCAAGCTGGTCTCAAACTCCAGGACCCAAATAATTCTCCTTCCTTGGCCTCCTAAAGTGCTAGTATTACAGGTATGAGCCACCACTCCCCACCGTTTGTGTGTTTAAGAGAGGATAGACAGATAAAGGGAGAGGTGCCTCAGGCAGACAGAGGGACGGTTAATCAGCTCTAGCTCGCTTCTCCTTCCTACTTATCTCCACGTTCCTATTCTTAGATTAATGGATCTGAAACTTCAGTGTACATAGGAACAAACTGGGGCACTTTCTTGACCTCATCAACAGAAATTCAAATTTGTGAGGAGTGGAGTCAAGGGACTTGCATTTATAATAAGCACCCCATCTAATACTAACGAAAACGTATGTCACTCTATGCAACTCTAAATATATATAAAGTTACCTACAGGCCACAGACAAGATTTTGCATGAATCTAAAATTCTTTTAAGGTTGTGGGGGGGGGACACATAGTATTGTGGCATATATGTATTATAGAATATGTGGAAGAAGGAAATGCTAAGCTTCTTGAGTTAACTTAATAGCCACTGAAGGCAAAGGTGTTTTCATAAATGGTGTTTAACCTTTTCTGCTTCAGAGCTCAGAGAGAAACAGAAGTTATTTTTAAGTAGTGCTTTTAATAAACAAAAGGCAGAAAAGTGGAGGTATTTTTAGTAAGCACATCAGATTTTCCAATATGGTCATAAACAGCAATTTAAATTCATGTTTCATTTTCACTTGTATTTACCTCCGCGTTTTTTGAGATTTTCAGTTTTCATTTTACTTCTGCTTCTAAATTCAGGCCCTTTAAAATCATCTTTGTCTTCATTCAGCACTGGCTCTGGCTGTACAATCACTGTACCTAGAATGATTTCATTTAAAAAATCATTACACATATTAAATGTGCAAGTGAAGTGCAAGACTTCAGTTCAGATAAAGCCAACATTGCTGGTACATAGTTTGTTTCTTTCAAGCTTTAGATATTGGTATAAGGACCTCACAAAAGTAAATAAAACAGGGAAATAGTAAAAGGGCCAGGTGTCAACAATCAGTTTATTTGTTGAAATATAGTTCATAAAAACAGGAAAGGGAGGTATTATGAAGTGATTACAAAAGAAATGTGTGAATCAAATAGAAAGCCTCAACCCAGTTCTGAATTTTTGTAGTGCCTATCACAAAAGCTGTTATGAATATGAAGTTATCCTAAGTTCCATAAAGAATTTATAAAACGTGGTTCAGAGGGAAAAATTTTTAAAAGACATCCTATTCTCATAATGCAAATCACAAACTCAGAAAGATTTGTAAGGGTTATTTTATATTGCAAGGGAGGGACATTGGTGGGGAAATGAAGTTCATTCTACTACTCCTCTACCTATTCTGCAGCATCTCCCTACTGGTATGTCAAAGCTTCACTACTCTGTAAAGTCCGTAAAGAGCTTTAACAGGTTAAGATACTTAAGCTGAAGTACCCTAACAATAAATTGTAGAATGAGATCATTTGTTGATGCCTACGGAAATATTTTAGAAAGAATGTCCTTCCTTAACTATAAAACATGTGAACTGAGGAGAGAGGTTGTCAATTTTTTATTAGTTCTCTCAAGAGCAAATAAGACAGGCACAGTAATAAGGGTTTAGGTCTGAATGTTTACCTATATCACTGGGCTTAGTAATTGACTATCATTGGCAACAATTATGGAAGAAAAAGCAGGTAGTTGCCAGGGGCTTTCTCTGCAACAAGTTACTCAACAAATTTTGACAAGTTATAGCATCCAGTTGGTAAATGAGTTTCTGAATCTCTGAAAGGGTGGGGGTAGAGGACACAGATGATTGGGATTTTACAGATTGTAGTAAAATTAAATAATCCCCACCAAAAAAACTATTCACAGCAATCACTGCATATATATACTTTCAGGGAAGCCCCAGCATTTGAAAAGAACTACAGATTATAAATTAACAACAAAAAAAAATAATAACTTAATTCTTCCTAGAGATTATTCTAGGGAGAATTGTAAGCAACACAGCAGAGTGAAGGAGCACTCACTAGCTTTGGATTCAAGCAGACTTGGGTTGAAATCTTAGCTTCTCAATTTAAAGCTGAAAAAGTTCCTTGGGTTCTAAATTTGTTCCTTTAGCTATACAAGCAAAATAATAACTAACTTACAGTGTTGCTTTGAGGATTAAAGGAGTTAATTCTGTAAGAGCCTGCTACCTATACATACTCAATAAATATTACAACAATAATATAAACACCCAAATTTAACCTCATGAAATGGGTCTGTTTTTGTTTTGGTCTGTCAGAATTAGGTATAGTTCAGATTAGTAACATTATATGCTAACCTTCTTCCACAGTACCATTAAAACAAAGGTTTGAAATCCTAGTTCTTACATCATAAACACTTCCAGTAACAACCACTGAGAATGTAAAAATCCAAAGTAAATCACTGCCTAATGGGACTTAGACTCCCATGTTAGTTATTTCTGCCCTTGGCCACCAAAACCATTATACAACATTGTCATACATGGTTTGCAAAGCTAGCAAATGGTAGGCCCCTATCTCTCTTCTTCCATTAATTTCCCTTCCTCATTTCATTTATCACCTTTTGTAAGTCCTAATTTATCCTAGTCAAAGAAAGTTCCAACCCTCCTACCTACCATATTTTTTAAACTACCATAATTTGAAAATGTGTCATAAAAACATAGACAGGGAACAAGGTTTAATAAGCACTCACTATAAAAGATCTATGAGAATGAATTTGAAAAATGTGCCAAGAGACTAAAACGTATTATTTAACAAAGAAAAAAAATCTAAAATTTGACTCTTTGAACAATGTCCCCTGTCATTCTCATCATCCAATCATATTGCTCTCAGACGTGAGCTATAAGAGTACATGATACTCATTTGGCTTTTTCCCCAATCTTATTAACAAGATTTTATGGTTAAAACTTCAACTGATGAGATGTATGTGACAAAGTTTTTTAAAAGAGATAACAGTAAGAAATACACCTAAATCTATGATAGTTAAATTCGGCTTTTAGCGTTAGGGAATTTAAGAATGCAGTAAGACTAAACTAGACTGTAAATGATTTTTGTTTAAGTTTTCAGGAACAGTCATTACATTTTTGTATAAAGCAAGCACATTAACATTTATTGAACCAACACCTAACATACCAAATTTTTAAACCTGCTTACACATTGAAGTATAATTTGGAAACCAAAGCCCCTTTTCTAAAACTCACAGGAAAAAAAATTAGATTTTATTCTTTTCAAAACTAACTGAATATTCCAAAATTTTAACTTCAATAACACACATTATCACTGGCACACAAATAATTTTTCCAGACAACCACTAGGAAAATGCCATGTTTGGTCTTTTGTACATATATAACAATAATCAAGTTCCAATTGTATAAAAATTGTATTTAAAAATTCATTTCAACTTAACTTCATATGAAAAATTAACACACATTACCTTTTGGCAAGCTTTGCATAGTAATATCATTTTCTGAATTTTCATTAGATGCATCTTCATGTACAGTTTCATCATCCAAAGGTTTTTCATCATCTGATTCTACATACTTTGTTACAATTGAAGGTTTCCTAAGAAAGAATTAAGTTCACAGAATTATAAACATTTCTGACAACTGGAACAATACCCAAAGAACATAAATAACATGTTGTAACTGAGCAGTGGGTCTCTACCAGGATGCACATCAGTATCAACTAGGGAAGCATGTATGTCTACACCCTATCACTGAATATTATGATTCAGTAGGTCTAGAGTAGCACCAAGGCATATACATTCTGAAAAAGCTAACGGGGATATCTTGGAACACACTCTTCTTTAAGAATCACTACTTTAGAGAATAAATTAACAACAAGCAAGCTTGGTTTTTAAGAGACATTCCCACTGGTTAGAAACAACAAAAGTCCAATAGACTAAGCTGCAAACTTCTAGTAAGAATTATACTGCATAGTATATTGGGCACTATATTAATGTTAGAAAGTAGTTTCTGGTTTTATGTATGACTTGACAATTTAGCACAAAAAAGTGTTTTTTTTTTTTTGTTTTTTTTTTTTTTTGGGACGGAGTTTCGCTCTTGTTACCCAGGCTAGAGTGCAATGGCGCAATCTCGGCTCACCGCAACCTCCGCCTCCTGGGTTCAGGCAATTCTCCTGCCTCAGCCTCCTGAGTAGCTGGGATTACAAGCACACGCCACCATGCCCAGCTAATTTTTTGTATTTTTAGTAGAGACGGGGTTTCACTGTGTTAACCAGGATGGTCTCGATCTCTTGACCTCGTGATCCACCCGCCTCGGCCTCCCAAAGTGCTGGGATTACAGGCTTGAGCCACCGCGCCCGGCAAAAAAGTGTTTTTTTTAACCACTCTTTGTTCTCCTTATAACTTACAACTGTGATGACTATCTAACTCCCCATCCTAGACAATTTCATATAACCCTGAAAAACCCATTGCCTCATCAGGCATTCAACAATTATATTCTCCTTTTTCAACGACATATATATGTCTAATGAAGTAAACTGCATATTGCAAGGACCACTAATACGTAATAAATCCTAAAATCTCCTTTAAAATTCAAAGTTGGAATGAATTAATAATTGTTGAAACCAGGTGATACAAAGGGATTCATTATATTATGCTAATCATTTTAAACATGTATATTTGTATAGAATGGTTAACTCAGAATAGTGCTTGACATAAGTTCAGAAAAATACAGTTTTAGAAACAGAAAATAAGGTGAAAAAGAAAGTAACTTTTTGTTCCTTTAACATCAACCAACCTCTTTGATCGTGAAGATCCGGAAGACTTGGATTTTTCTGAAGAGCTAGTTCCCTAGATATGAGACATAAATGTAAAAGTGAGTAAAACTCTCAAAACAGCATCCCTACAATTAACTATTTCCCTATAGCAAGAACTTCAATACAGTGATATAATGAGATGCTATTTATGTGCCTAGAATATTTTTCTAAAAGAAACTTCAAAAACTAATTCCCTACCTCATAAGGAACAAAGATGCAAAAAAACAAAAATAAAAATAAAAACTAATTCTCATTTACTTCCAGGTTTCCTTGGCTGAAGATTAAATTTCTGGTTTTTTACACGGTTGCTGTGGCATGCTGCGGGGGATACACTGCTGTATGATGATCATGGCCCCAGTCAACAAAGACAAAACAAGGATGTAGAAATAATCAAATCTCAACAGAGGTAGGGAGTTTTAAAGATCTAAATATGTTTCATTCTTCTCTATGTTAACATACAGCATGAAGTAACCTCTACAACTTGCTTTGACATACTAAACTTACCCTCATTTTGCCAATATAATCAATATATTTTACTGGATTCAATTTTTTTACAGTAGGTGAAAAAATTCCCAAAACCATAGTTGTAGGCCCGTGTATCAGGCAAAGGACCTTGTTATGAGTTGCTATAATTATGCTTAGTAGACTCTGGATACCAAGTTTTGAGAGATTTCATAACCATGGAGTTCATGCCCGTAACGTCCACCTCAAACACCCCTGGGGCAATATAAAGACAGTTAAATATCCATCTCTTGGAAGTCTTCAGTTGTCTGACTTTAGGTAAACTGCTAAAGTATACCACAGTGACAGAAACAATGAACACCTTCTCAAACTGGAAAACAACCAAACTGAAGTATCATAATGACAACTGGGTATCAGTATCCTTAGCCACATAACAGTACATGTGTCTAGGAGCAATCTAAAGACATATCCTCTAGTTGGTTAACAATAACAAATACCTTTAAAATAGTAATTATCATTACCTCTTCCTTGCTGTTTTCCATCATATCAGAGCTACTTCCAGAACCACTGATTTTATCTAAAAAAGAAGAAATAAAGAACATTATTTATCTCTTAAATATATCATCAAACAGAACTTCAATACCTATGAATCCATAAACCCATTTTCACACTACGAAGTCTGGCAGTATTGTTAACATAGCACTCATATTAAAATATTCCTAGAAGAATTATTTCACTAGAAGCACTCTCCTTTTGCACTAGAATCACTCTCCTTTTACACATTAACCCCTCCCTATAAAGCATTAAATCTCTATAGAGATTACTTTGGTATAAAAACATTTCCTGCTGTAGTTCATAAGTATTGCAAGACATTTTCCAGTAAAAGAAAATTTACAATATTATACTAAAAATAAAAAAACATACTATCAATAAAGTATATTTCATTTCACCATAAACTACTGAGAAAATAAGAGCAAACTAAACCAAAAGCAAGGAGAAGGAAATAATAAAGATTAGGGCAGAAATTCATGAAACTAATAAAAAAGGAAATAGAAAAACAATAGAAAAAAAAAAAATCAATGAAACCAAACAGTAGTTCCTTTTCTTTTTTTTCATTTCCTTTTTTTTTTTTAAGATAAGGTTTCACTCCATTGTCCATACTAGAGGACAGAGGTGCTATCATGGTTCACTTTAGCCTAAACCTCCTGGGCTCAGGTGATCCTCCCCTCTCAGCCTCCAGGTAGCTGGGACTACAGGCGTGCACCACCACACCCAGCTAATTTGTTGTAGAGATGAGGTTTCATCATGTTGCCCAGGCTGGTCTCTAACTCATGGGTTCAAGTGGTCTGCCCACCTTGGCCTCCCAAAGTGCTGAGATTATAAGCGTGAGCCACAGGCACCTGGCCAAAAACTAATTCTTTAAAAAGATGAACAAGTAGGACAGTGGCCATGAAAGTTGGAATCTGCTAGGGACTGTGTAACAACTTACTTGCAGGAGTAGAAATGATGAACAAACTTTAGGCTAGAGTGACCAAGAAAAAAAAAGAAACAAGACAACTCAAGTTACTATAATCAGAAATGAAAAAGAGGATATTACTACCAACCTAACTGAAATAAAAGGATTATAAAGGAATACTATGAACAACTGTGTGCCAAAAAATTAATTAACTTACATGAAATGAACAAATTTGAAAACACAAACTACTAAAGCTGAATCAAGAAGAAACAGGTATGACTAAATCTGTAAGAATTGATGAGATTAAATTAGCAACTAACAACAACAAAAAAAAAAACTACCCATAAAGAAAAAGCCTAAATGGTCTCACCACTGAATTATAACAAACATTTAAAAAAGGACTAATTCCAATTCTTCACAAACTCTTCTAAAAAACAGAAAAGGAGGCAACATTTCCCAACTCATTTTATGAAACCAGTATTGTCCTGGTATAAAAAAGATATCACAAATAGAGAAAACTACAGGACAGTATCACTTATGAATATAGATGTAAAAGTCTACAAAATATTAGAAAACTTCAAATCAGAAGGCAGGCTAGAGACTGGGAGAAAATCTTCACACACTGCACATCTGATAAAAGACAATTATCCAAACTATACAAAGAATGCTTAAAACTCAACAATAATAAAACAACATGATTTTAAAACAAGGAAAACAGAAACCTACATGAACAGACACCTCACCAAAAAAGATGTACAGATGCAGATAAGCACCTGAAAATAGGCTCAGCTGGGTGCAGTAGCTCATACCTGTAATCCCAGCACTTTGGGAGGCAGAGGTGGGCGCATCAAGAGGTCAGGAGTTCAAGACCAGCCTGGCCAACATGGCGAAACCTCGTCTCTACTAAAAATACAAAAATTAGCCAGGCATGGCTACTCAGTGCCATACCCAAGTACACGCCGTGGTATTTATCCGAAGAAACTGAAAACATATATCCAGAAAAAAACCTGCATGGAGATGTTTATAAACCTCTTTATTTAATGCAAACATCTTCACTTACTTACATAAACATCTTTATAAGCAGCTTTATTCATAACTGCCAAAACTTGGAAGCAACCAAGATGTCCTTCAGAAGATGAATGGATAAACAAACTGTGGTACACCCAGACAATGGAATATTATTCAACACTAGAAGGAAATGAGCTATCAAGCTACAAAGAGACATGGAGGAAACAAATGCAGATTACTATGTGAAAGAAGCCAGTCTGTAAAGGCTACATACATATGATTACAACTATGACAACCTGAAAAAGGCAAAATTATGGAGAAAGTAAAAGGATCAGTGGCTGCCAGTGGTCACAGGGGAGAAAGGGATTAAGAAACAGGCACAGCACAAGGGATTTTTAGGGTATTCTGTATGATACTACAATGGTGAATCCAGGTCATTATATATTTGTCAAAAATCTTTAAAATGTATAACACCAAGAGTAAACCTTAACGTAAACTATGCATTTGGGGTAATAATGACATGCCAGTGTAGGCACATCAACGTTATATAACAAATGTACAACTGTTATGAAATGCTGATAGTAGGAGATGCTACGTATGTGTGGAAGCAGGGGCATATGGGAACTCACTGTACTTTTTGCTCAATTTTGCTATGAACCTAAAACAGCTCTTTTAAAATGTCTTTTTTCTACTAAATTAAGGAAGAAATAAAATTCAAAAATCAACAAAAACTCACAGGTAGGTAATATCATACTTAGTGGTGACAGACTGAATGCTTTCCACCTTAAGATCAAGAACAAGACAAGGAAATCAGCTCTGGCCATTTCTATTGAACTTTGCACTACAGATTCTATTCAGAGCATGCATGTAAAAAAATAATTAAAAGGTATCAAGATTTAAAAGGAAGGTATAAAACTAGCCCTATTAGAGGGTCGGACGTGGTGGCTGACACCTGTAATCCCAGCACTTGGGGAGGCTGAGGCAGGCGAATCAACAGAGGTCAGGAGTTCGAGACCAGTCTGGTCAACATAGTAAAACCCCACCTCTACTAAAATCACAAAAATTAGCTAGGTGTGGTGGCGGGTGCCTATAATCCCAGCTACTCGGGAGGCTGAGGCATGAGAATTGCTTGAGCCCAGGAGGAGAAGGTTGCAGTGAAC